GTATATATATAGATGAGAGAGAGAGAGAGAGAGAGAGAGAGAGAGAGAGAGAGATAGAGAGAGAGAGAGACAGAGAGACAGAGAGAGAGAAGACAGGGAGGGTGTGGAGATACAAGAAGAGGGATGGAGAGAGGGAGAGAAAGAGAGAGAAATACAGTGGTCCCCTCCAGTTACCCGCACAGATAGAAACACACTCGATGAAGCCAACAAACAACTTAAAGAAAACGAAAAAGAAACACGGATCTATGTTCCCTACCGTTAAATTTGATTTTATTAAGAGTTTTACTGCATTTGCAACACAACTAGGTCATATATAAAAGTTGACGATTAGAGGTCTTTTTTAGAGAGATTAGTTTTAGTGAGAGTTTTACGGCACTTGTAACACAATTAGCTCATATAAGTGCTGAAGATAAGTTAAGAGGTTTTTGGTTTATTTATAGTAGAGGGTTTTACGGCGCTCGCAACTGTATAAGGTCATATGAGCGCCAAGGGGTGAGAGTCAACAGAAAAGTCTTCACAGGGAATCAGACTTAGACTGCTCACCTCTCTAGCTTCTACAGCACAAAGTCTGCTTCGACTATCAAGACAACCCGGAAATAGCAGGTCACTAAAGTGTGACAAATATACAAAAGAAGTAGAGGAAAATGACAATAGTAAGGATTAGGAAAGAAAAAGCAGCAGTTCCCTGTTGTAGATCAGGCACAGTTATGAGCATGACAAGATGAATCAGCCCATTTACAATTCTACTGTGCATGGACGAGAAATGTCCTCCCTTTGGGAATGGCCTAAAGACACTACAGTCAGTGGCACCGCCCGCGGGGGTTTAAGAGGAATTACACAAAAGAAAAGAAGTAAGAGCGATACTGACGATAGAAGCCGCATCCACGCTAGCAACCACCAACCACCCACCACTCCTTACCTTTAGTTTAGTTTTAGTAAGAGTTTTACGGTTCTTGCTACACAATAAGGTCATATAAGTGCGGAAGAATAGAAGCGTTACAAGAGAGTAACATACATAAAAAAAGGAGGAGAGATAAGGACGATAGTTGTTTGATAGGAAAGAAGGAGCAAACCACACCCGGGCAGCCACCAACCACCCGCCACTCCTTACCTTTGATGACCTCGGGTGGGCGTGGCTTGGGAGAAGGCGGGGCCTGTTTCTCATCCCCCCTCTCGTCGTAGGCGGGGGAGCTCTTGACGTAGGTGTTGTTGAGCAGCATGGCCGAGTCTCGCGGCGCCTCGCGGAAGTACGGGCCTGGGCCCTCATCCTCGTCCTCGTATGGGTGGTCGTGGTCGCGGGACGGCATGAAGGACGTCTCCTGTGGGGGGAGGACACAGTTGTTGGACAGTTCTACTGGGGATGTGACAGTTCTTCTTCTTCTTTCCGCGCCCCTGCTGGGCCTCAGAGGGTGGTTTTAGTAAGAGTTTTACGGCATTTGCAAACACAATAAGGTCATATAAGTGCCGAAGACTAGTTTGTTTTAGTTGAGGTTTTACGGCACTCGCAACAGCATTGCATAAGGTCATATGAGTGCCAGAAGATTAGAGGTGATACAAGAAAAGGAGGGGAGATAGAGACGATAGATTTTTTTATAGGAAAGAAGGAGCAAACCACATCAGAGCACCCGCCAACCACCCACTTCTTCTTTCCGCTCCCCTGCTAGGCCTCAGGGGTTGTTTTAGTAACTGAGTTTTACGGCACTTGCAACACAATAAGGTCATATAAGTGCCCAAGATTAGAGGTGTTACAAGAGTAACATACGAAAAAAAGAAGGAGGGGAAAAAGAGAAGATAGACTTTTTATAGGAAAGAAGGAGCAAACCACACCAGAGCACCCGCCAACACCCGCTGCCTCAAGGGTAGTCGACTGCTGGTTCTCCAACCAGCAGAGAAACTGATTTTTATTTATGTGAATGGGGTGTTTATCTCCTCACTATGGCCTCTTGGCTTCATGCTGGCTTTGAAGGTTACTATTATGTTATGTTTCTACACTGAACAGAGTCATTTTAGTTTTTAGTTTGTCTTAGTAAGAGTTTTACGGCACTTGCAACACAATAAGGTCATATAAGTACTGAAGAATAGATTACGTGTTAGAAGAGGGTAACAAACACAAAAAAGGAGGAGGGGAGATGAGGACGACAGATGTTTGATAGGAAAGAAGGGGCAAACCACACCAGAGCACCCACCAACCACCCACATTTTAGTTTTGGCAGGCATTAATTTTGAATTTTGCCCAGGTGGCAGCTAAAGTTTAGGACCACCATGATATCGTGAACATGCGCAACTTGCACACAGGACCTCCAACATTTTTCACCTATACCCAGAAAAGCTAGGTGTTATCTTATCTACCCTTAGACCAGGGGTGTGACTGAAAGACAGCAGTAAGACAGAGCCAGGAAAAGCAGTAAAATAAAGTGAGGAGCAAAGGAGAGGGAAGAACCCAAAGGCCAGGCGTAGAAGAAAGTGGAGATGAAAGCCGACAACAGAATACGACAAGAGAACAGGAAACGTGAAAATTTTACGGAAGAAAATTTTTCGATGCAGTCAGCTTTCGAACCCGGGACCAATTGAATGAGGAGAGGCGAAGGACGATAAATGCTCGGTAGGAAAGAAGAATCAAACCACACCAGAAGAGTTTTAGTTTTAGTAAGAGTTCAACGATACTTGCAACACAATAAAGTCATATAAGTGCTGAAGAATAGATGTGCTACAAGAGAGTAACATAGACAAAAAAGAAGAAGGAGAGATAATGACGATAGATGTTTGATAGGAAAGAAGGGGCAACCACAACAGAACCTGCCAACAACCCACTTTCACAATAAATAAGGAACTAGCAAAACAAAAAAGGAGCCAACACGGCGCCGGCCTCACCTCGCCCATCCGTTCGTGGTGGGGTATGACGTGGCCGTCTATGTTCTTGTCCTTCATGAACTTTGCGTGTCTGGCCTTGAGCTCCTTCGGGTGAGGGGTGTCATGACGCACAAAGTGGCTCTGTGGAACAGTTCTTGGGTGAGTCTTTTTGTTTTGGGTTGGTTTTTTTGTGGGGGGGGGTG